TTTCTGTCCATAACTCAATTCAAACATATAAGTTTCTGTCCATAACTCAATTCAAACATATAAGGATGTTTCTGTCCATAACCCAACTCAAACATATAAGGGACGTATTTTTTATTTCATTTTTGTTTCAACAGCTCAGTGTAACCCACCGTGTCAGAATGGAGGACGATGTGTTACTTCCAACCGCTGCTTATGTTCACCGGAATATAGAGGGCAATTATGCCAATATCGTAAGTAACTTTAAGGTACAACTCTCATTTAAGGTAAATACGATTTGTTTTACTTTCACACACTTCTTCCCGCCGCCCACAGAGGGCCGAGGATAGTTGATCTGCACATTCGTGAATGGTTTAATGAACTTATTGTATCCGTGCTTATAGGAAAAAAGGAATGAACTTCGAACAAGTACAAATGAATATTATGTGGTAGAAACAAATAGAAATCTACTGTGAATTGAGTTATGGACAGAAATCTCCTTATATGTTTGAATTGAGTTATGGACAGAAAGAAGAATAATAGTCAACTATTCGAAAGCACTCGAGTTTTGGGTCTTATTTTAAGTTTATTACACTTTATATGTGACCCTTTGTGCTAACTCTTTTATCAAAAAAAAACATATAATATTTTTGTAAACTAAAGCTTTTGCCCCCCCCCCCCCCAGTGGCACAGCCGTATGTCTGCGGACTTACCCGTGGTGGGCAGAGAACAGATATCCCATCGTGTAGCTTTGTGCTTAACTACAAACAAAAAACAACAAAGAAAACTAAAGATTTTGTACTTAAGACATCGCCCCTCAGTGGCACAGTAGTATGTCTGCGGACTTATACTACTAGAAACCGGGTTTCGATACCCGTGGTGGGCAGAGCACAGATAGCCCTTTGTGTAGCTTTGTGCTTAATAATTAATAATAAACAAGTTAATACATCATATTAATAGTCGTTAATATTTAATAGCAAAATAAAAAGTGATATATTTTTTTTAGGAGAACAAAGGGGAACACATGGGCTAACACAACCAGGTTAAAGACCTCCAAGGTTCAGGCATAGCTGTTTCTAGTTTAGAACTGCTGGCCAGATGGAAATCATACAGCCACGTCACCCACCGCCTGCACTATTATTGTAACCTATTAACGAATTGATTTATCACTGTTGAACAAGCTCCACAACTGAAACTGCGGAGCATGTTCACTGCTATATCACGGTTTCAAATCTTGGACCTTTAGATTCGCAGACCATCACTCTAATCAATAGGGTAGACCAGATCTATCGAATAGTACTATGAATAAGATTTAATTATGTACGTAGGAAAATTGTGCCGAGGAGTATTTTACGCGTAACTTACGTTCACAGTCAGGAAAGTTGTGTTCAGGTGACCACTGTCCTGTCCGCTGATTACACTCTAACACCATCCACGATGAGCCATCAGAAAATGCATAACCATCCATGCAGTTGGCTTCACAAGTCCTAGTTGAAGCAGAATCAACATTGAATCGACAAAAGGCTTAGCTACTTGTTTAACATTTAGCACTTTAGTTGACATTCTAACAGACTTCAAAAATTAATAATTATACATTTGAAATATTGGGAAAAAAAATCACATAGAATTATGTTGAATGTGTTTCTAGCAGAATAATTAAATGTATTAATAATATTACTATATTATAGAAAGTCACATTTAACCTGTTTTATTAACATGGACATTTTATCTTTTTTTTCCATTGTTTTTTGTTTTGTGTTACCTTAAAACAAATCTTTGAATGAAATTAAATTTGTGGATTAGGAATTATTGAAAATACTTATGTATACATTATTTATATACGGACGTTGTGTTGGGGGGTTCTGTGGGTGTAATTTCTACCATGCTTCAACACTTTTCTTTTACGTAGCTTTTGGTCTAATTGATTTATCACTAGCCTAACATCAAGCGAATCAAGGTCGATTGAATATAAGACTATCTTATAAGTAATATGTTATCAAACTTCGAACAAATTTTACGTATTTTAACTGGTAATTAAAATTGGCATACACACATATATATAATGAAAAACTAACTCACTAAACGGTATTTGTCTGGAAAAATAATACTCATGAGTATACCAACCGAATGAGCGAACAATAAACATCACTAGTATAGCATATATGAAATTTTTATTGTTAGTTAATAGAGACTGAAAAAATATTATGCTTATTGTTTAAAATTGTCTCTCGGTATAGACTGAACAAATATTAAATGGAAATAAATTGTTTACATTTGTAAAAAATCTCCTTTACACGACCTGGAGCCCATCATAGGAGAAGGTGGAGATTCACAGAGTCCTGTGGAGAAATGAAGTCGTAAAACGCATGGTTACAATTTGTTAAAAACCAGTAAACT